CACACACACACACACACACACACACACACACACACACACACACACACCCGCACGCACGCATCATTTTTCGACCCACCTCCTCCCTCGCTCTGAAGAGGAAAAAAAGAAGCCAAGACCTTCTCTCTCAATCCATCCTTAACCATCACTTCCCCCTCCCTCTTTAACCACTCCCCTCCTCCCACATAATTCCGTTTCCACAATAGTTCCTTCACCGGGTTCACACATTTTTGTGCGTTTTCCTTTCTTTTTGTAGATCATAAACTACCCACAGCCCTAGAAAAAACACAATGCTGGGGGAATTTCGTTTCTTTACAAGTACCCGTTCCGAGATTTAACACCACTTGCGACCTCTTTGATGTCGAGCTGGGCCAAAGCAGAGCAAGGGCCAGTAAAAAGCTCCGGGGGTAAACCTGTGGCGTAGAAAGGAAACACACTCCCTGAAACACTATACACTTCTAGTAAGGAAATGAGCTGGATTCAGTTCAGATGAAGGCGGGTACCCTTGGTTACTAGTAGCAGTAACATGGTGGGTAGGATTCGTTAACATGATACCCTAATTAGAGAGGTGGTTGGAAGGATTTCTGCTTGTTGACAGGGGTCTTTGGGGACTGAAATGACACATAATTTCGTGCTTCGCCACCTGGTTGTTCCTGCTTGAAGAAAACGCGACGAAGTTTGGCCGTTCCTTAACTTTAAAAGCATACCAGATGCTTTAAAAAAATGTCCCATAAGCAACAGAATAAAGGCAATGGTGTTATTCAATTTCGAACCATCATAAACAAACATGTAACACCTAGTTCATAGTGGGTGGTTGGAGGGCGCCACTGGTAGGTCCTACTTCTTTACTTTCCCCTCTGTTGTTTCTGTCTCTCTGTCTGTCTTACTTTTCACCAGCACTAAATGTGTGTCATATGTTTCTCTTTACTCAAACAAACAAAACCTAATTCCTAGTATGTATGTTGCTGTTTGTCTTTTCTCACGTTTCTGGGAAAGAAAACAGCTTGAATGTTTCTGAGTGTTCTGTGGTCTGCCTGGGTAATAGTATAGTGTTAAACGCATAGAGCTTCCTGTCGAGCAGGTATAAGAATGCGCTATACAAATGCTATTTATTATTATTATTATTAAAACAGAGTTTAAATATCTGAATGAATGACCAAGTTTTACTTTTTTTATAGTGCGCCAAAACAGCTCGTCTTTAAGCGTTGTTGGAGAAACTGACCGCGTGTCCTCAGTGAGATAATAATGAGAAGAACAACGACAGTCATTGGCACTTACTTGGCCAAAACTAAGTTGAAAGTGCCGTAAAACCCATATACTCAAGCAAACAAAACAAAACAAAAACAAACAGACGACAGTCAGTGATCCCCACTGACAACAAGGTCAGAATAAAAAGTCTCCAGCTTTGTTTGGCTCTTACAGATAGAGAGGAGACAAAGCTGTTTCTCCCTAACCCGCTACTTCTGTTCAGAAAATACGCTCTCAGCGTGATATTATGGAAACATTTTGTTAGAACGAACTTACCTGAATTGATTTGATGACATACATTTTGTTTTAAATTGAATTGTATGCCGCTTTCAGCAAAATAGCAAATCAACAAATCAAAGCACTTCAGGTCGAAAGTGAAGCAATTACCCCCCCCCCCTCCCCCTTTTCGCTCGTGAAAATAATAATGAAGAACTTTTTTTTTTGGCTCAATACTTTGTATGTACATTTAAGAACACATTTTTGTGTGGATTTTTACTGGAAAACGTTAATCAAAGGCGCAGAAAATGTAAAATTGCAGTTTCCAAGAACACTCAAGCTTTCGAAGTCACCAAACTTGGCGGTCATTTTCTCGCTAATTTTCCCTCTGACACCAGCCACTTCCTTCAATCGCAAATAGCTTGTCTTCGATTCAAGATAAAAAGATGTTTATTTCGCCAAATGCAGAAAAGATGAACAAGCTTTAAGATGATACTTATAGCTCCAAATGCCCAAAATTTGACGAGCGCCTGATTTCACCGCGTAACATTAATCATTCTTCTCCACCTGTCCGTCGATATCGATGCTGACAAGAGCTGTTGACTCTCTGTATGAGACAGCTTTGCCTGGGCAGAAGACGTGGAGGAAATTAGATGGCCCAAATACAACGAGTACTCCTCCCTTTTAGATATTAACCTGTAATGATATTCTCTGAAGTAAAGTTGTTCCCGCATCCAATCCGGACATTGGGGATTGTCTTGTTAGTGAGACAACTTCCTGGGCCTTCGGCATATTGTAGTAGGGTGGCCAGTTCTTTTCTACGTCGCCTTTACTTCCCCAACTCGAAGTCAGTTACCCATCACTGCTGGGTGGGCAGGGGGGGGCGAAAAAAATCCGGGTTCGAACCGGGGCTCGAACCCGGACTTTCCGCTTCGGAGACGAGCGCAGATATTCTCTAAAGGAGACATATCATATTATTATAAGCACTATGTTTGGAATCAAGGGAGGTGAAAGGGATTGTCTTATTAACTACAGGTGTGATAGCGATATATTTTCCCCCTCACATGCTAAATATAAAACTGAAGCAGACAGTAATACGATACATATCGATGCGTGACGCCAGTCCGGTATAACCCCAGACGCTCATGCTGTTGTAAGAACAATGCAATGCACTTAGCCACCTAGGGTGCAAGATTTCAATAAAGTTGCAATAAAAGGCTGTTAACGGTTACTGACTTTGATTATGATTCACTAGGCTCTTTGGGGGGAAAGAGATAAAGGAAGCTTTACACAGAATCAACGTACCGTAAACATTAGAACAATAATATTTTGCTTTTAAAAAAATCTTCACAGCATTAATTTTTTTTTAAAGCAGACTCAAAGTGGTTCATTCTTTTTTATTCTTCAGGTTAGGGAATTCTTACAATTTTTAAAAACATTTATAGATATATGCCTGGAAACACGAAAAAAAATGTTAAAAAGCGAAAA